TGGAGAGCTGGGTCAGAGTGAGCTCTGAGGCATCAGCGAGGCAAAAGCTCTGCAGCACTGATCACTGCATGCCAGGCATCTCCTGCACTCTACCAACACAACAAATACATTTTTAGTCAATTAACTGTATCCCCTACAGCTAAAACAGGCTCGAGGTCAGGTCTAAATTCTGTCTGCATCAATCTACCAGAGGCTACTGAAGCAAAAAACCCAGTGCATGCATCATTTGTGGGATTTACACTACAGTCCCCCTTTCACAGGTTCAGGAAATAAATGCATGAGGAGTGTGGAGGAAAGGAAAATTCCAGCAAGGCTGGAGCCAGCCAGTTCTCCAAACTGCAGAGAAATTCTCCCTTGCAGAGGAATTTCTACCCCAGAGAAAGAATTACAGTCTGATCACAGCACATCCGACTGGTTCGAGATCATAATTCCACTCCAGCATAGTAAATATTTTACTGAGAACTGGTTTCCTTACCCCCAGCAGGCAGAGGCAGTCTGGTGGAAGTCCCGGGGTTTCCATGAGCCCAGCACACAGGATCAGAGCCTGCCCTGTGCCTCACACAGGAGGAGGAGCACGGCAGGTGCATTTCCAGCTGGAGCTGTGCGTGGTGCTCCTCACGTACCCAGAGCAGGGTGAATTACAGGACTGGAGCCTGCTCAGCCCCAGACTGCAGCAAGAAAAGGAACATTTCTCCATTTTCTCCACATGGAACAACACGAAGTTGCACAGTGCAGGCAAAGGGAGAGATCTGACACCTTTACCCTGCTGGCTGTGGGAAGGAGATGAAAGAAATGACCAATAATGGGATTCCCAGCCCAGCTCAGCCTGAGAGCTGCTCTGAGCCCAGCTTTTGGAAACTGGTGATCACAGCCCAGCCCAGCCCAGGGCACCTGGGAGCTCCAGAACACAGCCAAACCCACACAGCTGAACCAGAGACAGGCAGCACCACAGCTGAGACTTCTCCTGGCAGCAGTCAGGGCTCTGGTAAAAATTCGGGAGAACCTGCAGCATTTCCCCAGCTCTGCCCCGAAAACGAGCAGATTTTTTTTCACTGAGGTCACAAACAGTCCAAACCACAAAAAGGGAACTCGGCAACCACCACCAAAGGGCTTTCAGCAGAGCCTGAGCTCCTGATAACATTCCTGCCTCTAGCTAATTAACTTTTAGTGATAAACTGTCAAGATAGTTGTGTTTGGAAGACTGATCCACCTGCTGATGTGCAGAGGGATGCAGGATGACTGTGGTGCCTCCTTCCCCCCACGGGCTGGTTTTGGAGAGCAAACCCCTCTTTAGAGCTGTGTTAGAAGAGGACAGGGGGGCAGAGGGGGAGATGGGAGGAAAAGCCTCGATGAAGAGAGCTGCACTGTGAAACCAACAGGCTTTGGGATCACTAATGCAGAGGGAACGAATTTGGGTGTCAGCCCCAAGGGAACAATCCCTGCCTGCATTTGAAACATCCCCTCATTTGACAGGGACAAAGGACACTGCCAGGTTCAGGCATTCCCACATGGAAATGTGCCTTTGGCACCCAAAAAAAGAAAAGAAAAACGAGTGAATCTCTTCCTCTGCTCACGTTTTTCTCCCATCCCATGACTGAGCTGGAAGTTTTTAACACTGAACTTTCTGCTCTGGCTGGTTCCAGTGGTTGTCTTTAAGCACTGGTTGGTATAAAAACACTTTAAAGAAATGCTCCTGCCTGTCTCCCCACCTATGAGAGTCCAAAGCAGCAGGAGTGCAGCAAGTTTGGCTCCATCCATCATCAGCAAAACTGTCAGCTCAGCTCCACCAGCAAAATCTTTATTAGTGGTTATGATGCAGAAGGCAGGAACCACACGCTCTGATTTCCTCAGATCTGAGGCTGAGTTTGCAGAGGCAGCAGTTAGAGGGGAAATAATTTTGACTTTTCCCTGAGCCAATTTGATCTGGAAATTGCTGAGAGCAAATAAATATGGAATCCCACCGTGGCATTTCTGCAGTCACTCTCCAGCTACAACCACTTCTCTGTTTGTTTTTTTTTTTTTTTCCCTGAGCATCAGTGATTTGTATTTGGCACATGTAAAAAACCAGCTAATCCCCAAAGCCATGCCTGACTGATCAATTACACAACTAATACCTTTTCCAGAGGTCATTTTAAGAGATGAATAATCCCTTCCAAAATTTCCCAACCTGCAGATTTGTTATTTGCCTTTCTGCAGCTTTCCTGGAAAGGTCAGAGTGGCCCAGCCCTGGGGACACACAGCAGTGAATCCCAGACTGTTCTGCAGGTGACCCATGAACTTTAGCAGCAGAGGCTGTGCAATGCAGGTGTTCTCTTTTTTATTTCTCACATTTCCCAATTTCAGTGACCCTGGACTTGCCTTTTCTGGTTAAAGGTACCTGCACACACACAGAGCCCAGCAGATCCAGCCCAGCCCAGCTCCTCACACTGCAAACAGCTTTCCCAAACAGCAATGAAGTGGGAGAGGCCCTGGGGCTTCCCACTCTAAACTCTTTTTAAAGCAGGGAAAGTCCAGCAGGGCTGCCTGAGCTGCCACTTTGCACACAGCAAAGCCATGGCACTGCCTCCTGCCCAGCTGGGCAGCTCAGAGCTGGGGGAAGGAATGGACAGTTTGGATTCCTGACTGGAATTCCTCACTCTGAAGGGTCCTGTGGAAAGCACAAAGCTCCAGCTCTCTAGGCTGGGCAGCACCTCTGGGCATCTTTGATCACGCACCAGTTTTTCCTCCTGGCTTTCATCTGGCAGGCAGATGGGGGAAAAAAAAATCTCCACAAATCCCACCCACACCCATGCTCCCTGTTGGAGGTGCTGACCTGTGAGAACGGCCTGAGGGAAGGCAAAGAAAATAACAGAACTTCCACTCCAAGGACAGTTTGGGATTGGTTTTAGCAAGTCCCAAAGCTCTGAAGGAAGGAGAGAAAATCCACTTGCAGCTCCTGCAAACACAGAAGAGGCAGCACAGCCACCACCTGCCCTGCTGGCATCTCACACCATGGGAGCAGTATTTGCTAATCCAAAGGCTGTATCATCATTTCTTCCTTGCAATTCTTTTTTTTTTTCCCCATCTGTTTCTTTTTATGCAGCATTTGTCTTCTAAGCTTCCTGACTTGTTTTCCTCTTGTCTTTTTGATTAACAAAAAGAGACACACCTTATCTCTTCCCCAGGCTGCACCACCCTCCCTTGTTCTGCGTGTTCAGCCTCATATCTCAGCACCATATTTGTTTCTCTCTCTCTGAATAAATAGAAGTGTAGGCACTTTTAAGAAATAAGGGCTGTGTTTGAAGAGTAATTAGCTGTCAGCATAAAACTAATATTTATGGATTCTCATCCTTGAAAACTCTAACTCTGCTACCCAGCACTGATTATGGCTGTTAGAAACAGATGGGGCTGAATCCATACAGCTTGAAATAATGCTACATTTAAAAAATAATTAACTCCAAATGAAGGACTGAATGCCACTCGCTCCCCCTAAATTTGATTTTTCAATTTGATTTGTTTGCACAGAGTGGAAGCTGGGTGATTGCTGGGTCTCTCGTGCTCCTGGCACACCTTGGAGGTGGGAACCTGCAGAGATCCAGGCTGGGCACTGGAATGTTCCAAACAGCAGGAAAGGATGGCTCAATCCTGCCCGGGGTCAGAGAGGAACCCAGCACCCCTGGGTGTGCTGTGTCTGCCTGCCTGACACAGAAATTGGAATTTCACCAGCGGTGCAGCCTTTGTTTTAGTGCCTGACAAAGATACAGGAGGGGAGATTTTCAAACTGTTTTTCAGATGCAGGCTGGAGAGGATGAAAGCCCTCAGTGTGTTATTCCATCGTTGCTGGATGCCTGCACCTCCGTGAAAGCACACACCCAGGAAATTTATACTCTGCTTAATTAAATCTGGGCTTTTTACTTATTGGCACCTCTTCCAAGAGCAGAATTTCCTCCAAGTTGGTTATCCATCACGGCAAAGGACCCGACAGCCACGCTGGAATCCCACACAAACCTGGTTAACTGGGTCACAGCCTGCCTGTGCTGGCTGCCAGCCTCTCCTGCACGGGCTGCAGGCACGGGGCCAAGCCCTGCCCTCGCCCTGCAGCCCCCCCAGCCAGGCTGAATTGTCACCTCCCAGCACGGGGGACAATTCCAGTGCCGGTCCCACAGGGATCTACAGGGACAGAGCCTCCAGCTGCCCCTCAACTCCTGCATCCTGTTCCTCCATCCCCCTGGAACAGCCAAGCTCTGCCATCTCCAGGTTTTTGTGCAAAGTGTGACCCCCCCCAGGGATGGAGACTCAAAGACATCTCCCTCCAAGTGAGGATTTTCCCCCCCCATAACCCTTTTTACCCCTAATATCCAAGCTGAAATCCACATTTCGTTAATTGCAGTCACACCCCAGCAGCTCAGTGACAGGGACACCCCAATTCCTGCCACCCTCCTTGGGAAAAGGAGGCAGCAAGGGAGCTCGTGTGAGAAATGGGGGTGAGGAGTGGGGGCAATGAGGGGACATGGCTGCGAGGGGAGGTGACAACGGATGGAGGGGGGACACAAACGTGGCCCCAAAATCTGAGGGGGTTCACAGCTATGAGGGGGGGCAAGGACTGACTGAGGGGAAGACGTGGCTGATGGCAGGTGAGGACTGAGGGGACACGATGTCTGATGGGGACATGGCTGTGAGGGCTGAGGGGACACAAACCTGAGGGGA